AATATGGTAGAATCGAACAAGAAAAGATCTTAGGTAAGAATGGGTTAAAACCAATGTAACTTGTTTAATATGGTAGAATCGAACAAGAAAAGATCTTAGGTAAGAATGGGTTAAAACCAATGTAACATGTTTAATATGGTAGAATCGAACAAGAAAAGATCTTAGGTAAGAATGGGTTAAAACCAATGTAACATGTTTAATATGGTAGAATCGAACAAGAAAAGATCTTAAATAATGTTATTTTTATGATGTGTTGAGAAGAATAAAGATACTTTGACTGTGTATGAGCATATTCGACATATGATATGTCTTTACTAAATTATCATATGTCATCCTAAGGTTGTTTATGATATACTACTGTGTAGCTAACGTTCTTCCATGTCAGAAAGTACGTTTAGTATTTGGTGACGTTAACTTTGAATACGGTGTTTTCATCAATACTGTGTAGCTAACGTTCTTCCATGTCAGAATGTACGTCGAGTATTTGGTGACATTAACGTCTTTCTCACCTTGTAAGTTTTTATTTTCTCGCTTGATGGCCTCGTGCTGTTCTTGACTCTCCTCGAACGAGGCTCGAAGTTTAAAGAGCTCCGTAGAGTAGTCCCGACACTCTCGCTGAGAGGCATCTAGTTCTGCTGCCAGGTCGTCCACTTTCTGCTTCCATTCAGCTATAGTTTTATCGAAGGACTTCTGTTTCTTCTCGAGAGTGGCGGCCAGGTTATTAGCCTAAAAGAAGACAACGTGTATTTCGGCTGCTGCTCCAAATCTCGGAGTATCCGGTATCCCACTTACGTGATTGTTTTAAAGTATAGCTTTATTTAGTGTAAAAATATTTTGTTCTGTTCATCGATAGCAACATTAGATAATTTAAAGTCACGCAGACTTGATATTACCACTAAGTGGACATCATATAGAATTATCTAAAATTATATAATACCTTTCGTTCCTGGATTACAAATGCAAGGTGAGAGATCAACAACCAGTAATATTTTCAAGTGTGCAATAAATCGCAGTGAATGTTAACTAACTCGTAATTCAATAATATTAAAGATTAATTTGTTTGACAGCTTACTTTTCGGTGGTTATAAACGTTAGTTTTACTTCTGCAATACCTGTCGTTAGTTTAGTTGACGAAACACGACAAACTTACTCTGTCCACTTCAATAGACATATCTTCAATTTCTCCCTGCAATCGGGACTTTGTCTTCTCCAAACCGCTGCATCTTGCATTCGTTTGTTCCATACTTTGTTCGACCTCTTCTAGCTTGGCCTGAAGTTTATGTCTACAAGAGATGTTTCAAATTATTTAGTTTAATTATATACAAGAGACGGTTCACACTATTTAGTTTAATTATATACAAGAGATGTTTCACATTATTTAGTTTAATTTAAACTAAATAATGTGAAACACCTCTTGTAGACGTAAACTAAATAATGTGAAAAATCTCTTGTATATGAGATGTTCGTATAAAAAATGCTTACTTAGAATCTTCAAGCTCCTCAACTCTGGCTAAGCCTTCACTCTCGTACTTCGATCGCCACATCTGAGCTTCAGCGTTGGCCTTGCTGAGCTGTCGCTGGAGGTCAGCTTTGGCCTCTTGTTCTTCTTCCAACTGTTCCTTCATTCCGTCCAAGTCATGTTCCAAATTTCTGTATTTACCAGCCACCGCTGCACGTTCCTAGAGGTCCAGGTTTTAAAAAAATTGAGTCTAGTGATGTTCAGAGTTCTGTTAACACTAATATTTGTTTACAAATATACACATGGGGTGTAGTGGGCGTTTTAAACCTCATCAGGGGATTCCGTTTAATCTGCCATTTGATTTGTCCAGATTCGGGACAAGGATCATAATCATTGGTTAACCCACTCAGTAATGCAACTTCATCTGTGTCTGGTAGAATAATAAAAAAGTTCAACAAATTTCTTCCTACTCAAGATGTGCGCCGTCCTATTATAATAGGGATTCTTGTTTGCTTACACCCCTTTGGTAGAAAATAAAACATTCCTCTTACATTTTAGCCGCGGCATAGAATGACTCTGAATTTATTTTTTGTTTTGTTTTGTTCAAGTACAACTTTTAGCTCATAGCTCCGTCATCTCTTGATCGATGTGAGATCTAATTACAATTTTGGACCCAGGAGACCAAACTCTTTCGATTGATGATTTGACCACGTCCAAGGCCGGCCTCGTAGATTATGCAATTTGTGGGTAGGCTAGTAGAGATCCTCTTAAGTAATAAAATGGAATATGGTATACGTGCGCCCCATGCTTGTTACTGCTGGTGCGCAAAAATATAGCTAATAAAAGGGGAAAAAAAGTCTCATAGATTAATTAACTCTAATCCTGCCTAAAAGAATTTCAAATGCCGCGGCTATTGGGGATTTCCTCTTGTTGTCATTTCTTCCTCTCAAGTAAGACAAAATTAGTTTGTTGGATATTTTAAAGACAATCTTCACATGAAGATGGGGTAAACTCATTTTCATGTGTTTTGTAGAAAAAATATAACTAACTCGATAAATAAACTTCAAAAAGAGACGTGTGATTGTTTTCATATTTCTGACGACATTTTTTATATTAGTGTTTTATTTTTGTTCTCCCATATCTACAGTATTACATTAATACACATACCCTGCTCTCTTCATCAGCTACTCTCTTGGCCTCTTCCAGTTGGGTCAGGTAGGACATTTTCATCTTACTCAGCTGAGCCACCTGAGACTCCGCATCTTCTAGCTGTCTCTGCAGTTCGCCGTTTTCTGCAATTAATTTCTTTTTGGAGGTATCGAAGTCTCCAAGTGAACGGACGGACTCATCCAACTTGTGCTGAAGATCCTGAAGCTGGATCTCCATTTGTTTGGAATTCTTTTCGGCATTTGCCTGAGAAACGGAGATTTTTATTTACTTCCAAATCTTCAGAATACAGAAAGAGTGAGATATTGTAAGGGACTTGTAACATTTAATAAACAGGACTGTAAGTAGTTAGGACTAACAGCACAATATAAAACAGTTAAAGTACTCGTGGCTTGTAACATTTAATAAACAAAATCGTAAGTAGTTAGGACTAACACGTTTATTAAATGTTACAAGCCACGAGTACTTTAACTGTTTTATATTGTTCTGTTATTCCCAACTACTTACAATTCTGTTTATTAAATGTTACAAGCCACGAGTACTTTAACTGTTTTATATTCTTTTCTGTTATTCCTAACTACTTACAATCCTATTGCCACGAGTACTTTACCTGTTTTATGTTTATTAAATGTTACAAGTTCTGTTATTCCTAACTACTTACAATCCTATATTTATAACAGTTAAAGTACCTGTGATTTGCAAGCATTGTTGAGGAGAACGTGCAAGTCATCCACTTCCACAGTTAGTGTTTCGCGCTCTTGTCCTAATCTATGTTAACACACAAGACAAAATAAATAGAGACGACATTTCTTAAAGGAGCAACTAAACACATAAACTCTTCCACTAGGATCTAGCACGTGCACTACGTTACGGGTTGTCATGTCCAAGGCGTGTTAGTTAACCCTAAAATTCTCTTGAGTAACGATTCCAAGTCGGGTACTGTTTTCTATTTAAACAATGGCTGGAAGAGTTCGGGATGTTGTGTGTTTATATTACAATGAACTGTTTCTTTGCCACTCGCATACACTGCCAAATCTGACCAAATGAATTATTTTAACAATTACCTTGAAATTATATATGTAATGAACGTCAGCCACTTACTAGTTACCTAGAACCTAGAAGATGGATTAATAATGATTATCAATTCACAAATCTGTCAAGGACAAGCTTCACAATGTCACAGTCCACTTGTGGTTAGTGTATCACTAACAGGTGTTGAATCATTTGTGAACAGTGTTACCATTAACAGGTGTTGAATCATTTGTGAATAGTGTTATCATTAAAGTGTATTGAATCACAGTCCACTTGTAGTTAGTGTTATCATTAAAGTGTATTATCTGAAAACTCAGCATTGATGTTACAAGTAAGTAAATCAGTTAATGAGTAACATGAACACAACACTCGGTGTGGACATATTGTTACTATTAGATCCAACCACTAACACAACACTCGGTGTGAAGTGGATATATTGTTAATATTAGATCCAACCACTGACGTAACATTCGGTGTAAAGTGGACATATTGTTAATATTAGATCCAACCACTAACGTAACACTCAGTATGAAGTGGACATATTGTTAATATTAGATCCAACCACTAGCGTAACACTCGGTGTGAAGTGGACATATTGTTAATATTACATCCAACCACTAGCGTAACACTCGGTGTGAAGTGGACATATTGTTGACATTAGATACAATCACTAACGTAACACTCGGTATGAAGTGGACATATTGTTAATATCATATCCAACCAGTAATGTAACACTCGGTGTGAAGTGGACATATTATTACTAGTGATAGTTGACCTAACAAGTAGTTTTCTTTCAGGTGGACTGAGTAAAATTCTACAACAGGACTCATGCAGGTAGAGTTCACACGTTCAAAGCTGTGCATGACCTAACCACATGACCATGCATGGCTTATATTACCTTCTCCTTGTTAACGTGGTCCACACTGGATCGTAAGTCCTCAAGCTCACCCTTCATTTGAGCTTTCTCCTTGTCGATCCTGTGAGGTTAAAGGTCAAATGAGAAATATGGAATCAACAAGTAGCTGAAAACGTGAATTTACCTCGAGTTTACAGGAGTCATTGCATAATTGAAAAGATAAAAAATAAAATAAGTGACTCTCCGAATGGCTTCGGTTGACCAAGTTAAAGGTGATAAGTCGTCAATTCAAAGATCATAATAAATGTCTAACTACAAAAGTGGGATTGTTTTTGTTTTCATATGATTTAAGTAAAGTCAAAAGAATAAGCATATATTATTTTTATAAAATACAATCGAACATGAGAAACAAATAATTATTTAAATCCCCTACTTGGCTTTATGCTTGTTCAGTTGATCTATTTGTTCACTGAGCTCAGCAACAGTATCGTTGTGTTTCTTTCTGAGATTCGACAGAACCTGTTCATGCTGAAGACTGCTTTCCTCCAAATCACGTTTGATCTTTGCCAGTTCAGCTTCTCGTCGCTTGTTCAGTTCAATCTGTGTGGAAAGAAGAGGTGTGAAACAAGAAATAATATTTAGTTGCTAGGGGCGTAAGAGATGTGAAACGTGGAAATAAGATTTATTTTGTAGGGAAGTAAGAGATGTGAAAGGTGGTATATGATTTATTTGGAAGGGATATAAAAGATGTGAAACGTGAAATATGATTTATTTTGTAGGGACGTAAAAAATGTGAAACTTGGAATATGATTTATTTTGTAGGGACGTAAGAGATGTGAAAGGTGGTATATGATTTATTTGAAAGGGATATAAAAGATGTGAAACGTGGAATATGATTTAGATACGACTTGTTCTATAAGAGAAAGCATGAACTTATTTTCAGTTAGAAACACGACTCGCACTGACCAATATATTTACATACTGTACTTGTGTGAAATGGAAAGTTTTGTATTTTAACTACTGGACATACGTATGGTAAACTTATCATATATTTAAATTATTTCCGAAATACCATTGATAAAGTATGAAATCAGTGTTTTGAAAAATTATGAAATCCGAAAAATTAAAGCAACCCGAAATGCTTTATATCACTAGGAGCTACTACAGTAAGATCATGTCTGGGAGAAAAACAGACCTGTGCAGAGGTGGCTCCACCTGCTTCATCAAGTCTTTCACTAAGTTCCTCAAGCTCCCGAGCAAGATCTGCTCTCTGCTTCTCTGCCTGAAAACACAAATATATTACACAACAATTTAGCATTACTTGTGAAGTACATGTACATATTAAAAACCTCATTAATTATTATTTTACAATTATTAGCAGAATTGTTAGCAGCTTCATGATCATTCCTCAGTCTCATATCGTTTTTTCTGTATAAGAAATAGTTTACACACAACAAGCCTAACAAGAAGAGAACCTAACAAAAGGTATATCTTATTCATGCCATCATAAAGATTCCGTGATGATATTTGATCTTTACACACACACACGGTGTAATCACAGAGATTCCGTGATCATATTGAATCTTTACACACACCTTCATACGAGCAGGTTTATATCGGATCTGTGTGTGAAAGGTCAAATATGATCACGTAATATTTGTGATTACACCGTGTGTGTGTGTGTGAAAGGTCAAATATGATCACGGAATCTCTCTGATTACACCGTGTGTATGAAAGTTCAAATATGATCACGGAATCTCTCTGATTACACCGTGTGTGTGAAAGTTCAAATATGATCACGGAATATATGTGATTACATCGTGTGTGTGTGTGTGAAAGGTCAAATATGATCACGGAATCTCTCTGATTACACCGTGTGTGTGAAAGGTTAAATATGATCACGGAATTTCTATGATTACACCGCGCGTATGTGTAAAGATCCAATATGATCACGGAATCTCTATTATTACACCGCGCTTGCCCCCAAATACATTTCTGGTCTTCCTATTCTCTGATACATTAAGTATGATTCACCTCAGACAACTTATTTTAAATAAATTCGGACCCTTGCAATTGTTAACTAGAGTAAAATGTATTTACATTTGAATTGCTATACTGTTTGTAGTTATGATATCTCACCTTAGCTCTGGCTTGTCTTTCAGCTTCTAGTTCCTCTTCCAGTTCTTCTATCCTAGCCTGTTGGAGAAACATGGTGCTTTAAAACTACTGCAGCTCATCGAAACCAGTTTTATATATTTATCCAATTTCAAGTTTCCAACATTTGTTCTTCCTCAGAAATATTTCAACTTCGTGCAGCTTTCAAACCTAACGATGTTATTTAATTTTCTTTATCAAATCTTTTATTAATCTTTACAAACGTATAAACATTTCTAAATAGCTATTTGGCATTAGGTGTTAAAATATTTTAAAGACGGTAGATATATATGGTTCAGAAAGCCAAGTATTTATTTCATTTGTGGCGTCAATATACTTGATAAATTATTCATGTGTATTTTAAAGATTTCTTAAACTCAACTAACGTACGCAACTTGGGTAAAGAACATAAGATTATTTACGCTAGGTGGCAGCTCTGCTGTTGGTTACACACGTAAGATTGATTACCACAAACTACAGATCAGAGCAAGCTACCTACTTAGAGTGACAATAAAAAACAGGTAATGAGAAAATCTAATTATCTTAGGTTCTTTCTAATTAAGGTTAGAATGCATTGTTTCATTAGTTTGTTTAAAATGTTATTTCACTAAGGGCCACTACTGTGTTCGAAGTTGTTTAATTTCTAATAATACTTTCTAGGGAAGTAGATTTTTTGGTTGTGTGACAAACAAAACCAAGCTAGTACCTGAAGTTCTTTGATCTGTTTTTGTAGTTTGGCAACCAAACTTTGTTCGTCTTCTAGCTTGGCTGCAAGACTGGCCATCTCTTTATCCTTCCTGTAGACGAGGACATTCTTAATATTACTGAATGGATCTGTGGTTATATTAAAGTACTCTTTAATTATTCACTAACCTTATCAACTTTCTTGACTCATGTACGTTTTATACAGTAAATCGAACGTTTACCGTAACTAAAAGGCTTAAACAAAATGTAGAACCCAACAAAAGTATATTGAAAGAATCTCATGTCCAGTATTGTAAACTAATCCCAAGAGGTGGTAGTTGACTTCAATATATTATTTCGATTAATAAAACATAACAAACGAGTAAACAAACCTTTGGAGGCTTTGTTCTAATTCTTTTTTGTTCTTTTCTAGGTCTACTATAGCTTCTTGTGCTAGTTTCAAATCTCCTTCTACCTTCCTCTTCGACTTCTCGAGGTCTCCTCGCTGCTTCTTCTCCCGCTCGAGGTTGTCCTCTAACTACAAAAATAATGTTTACTCGTTTAGTGAACAGAAGTTGGGATGATGGTGTTGAAACTGAATAAATTACTTCCAGATAACTGATAATGGTTTATTCTTAAAGGTCTGTAAGATTTTTGATGTGAAACTATTTCCAAAAGCTCTTACACGCTATTAAGCTGTAACTAATGTGTATAACTTTAACGTTTTTGATTTCGTTAACATGTAATGCATTTTTAGTAACATGCAAAGATATTTCAGAAAAGAAAAATGTTTGTATTATCATGGTCATTAATAGAATGTAGTAGATTGTACAGAAAGTCTTTCTGACGACTCAGTAACAACAAGGATTTAGGTATTAAATCTATGTTACAACTGTAGATTACAGTAGTAGCATAGCCCTAATTTCTAAATTCTTGTTGTTACCGAGTTGTCAGAAAGACTTCCGCACAATCTAGAGTAGTAACATAGCCTTAATACCTAAAGCCTTGTTGTTACAGAGTCGTCAGAAAGACTTCCTGTACAATCTACAGTTGTAACATAGCCTTAATATATAAATCCTTGTTGTTACCAAGTCGTCACAAAGACTTCCTGTACAATCTACAGTAGTAACATAGCCTTAATACCTAAATCCTTGTTGTTACCGAGTCGTCAGAAAGACTTCCTGTAAAGATTGTAGAGGAAGTCTTTCTGACGACTCAATAACAAGGATTTATGGATTGAGGGTTATTTTATGTGTACCTATACATATATTTCATTCAATAGATGTATAGAAAACCTGCCTCATCAAGAGTTTGTTCCAGTTTGACCTTGACCTTGTTTAAGTGATTGACCTTATCTTCGGATGCCTGCAGGTCCTCAGCGGTTTTCTGTTGATTAACAGAACATTTATTAAGCAGTCTATCTTTTATTTTCATTAAGAAATCATTCTTGAATAGAAATCTTAAGGACTGAGTTCATTAGGTTTTACTTATACAACAAACAGTATTACTGAAAGGTGATGTTGTTATAGTACTATAGTGTAAGTTTTACTTGAATATTACACGTTAAGTTAAAACAGGATATTTAGGACAATTAAACATTGCTTTAGCTCATAACCTAATAGCCTAGTACAACAACCATTACTTGACCAATGGCACGAACCTGGTTCACTTCTTGTAAGTGCTTCTTTTCTTTGGTGAGTTTTTGAATGAGTTCATCCTGATGAGCGATTTCATCGTTTAGATTACGAATTTGGTGGTCCTTTGTAGCCTTGTCTTGTTCGGCCTAAATTAAAAATATTACATTGCTAAAATAACCTTCGTTTTAATCGTTTGTAGCCTTGTCATGTTATGCCAAAGTGGAAATACATTTGAAATATTACATTGTTAAATAACCTTTGTTTTGGTTCTTTATAGCCTTGTCTTGTTAGGCCTAGGTGGAAATACAGGAAATAAATTGAAAATATTACATTACTAAAATAACCTTTGTTTGGTTCTTTGTAGCCTTGTCTTGTTTGGTGTAGATTTAGAATATTGCATTGTTAAAATAATCTTTGTTTAGGTCTTTTTAGTCTTGTTATGTATCAATAAAGGATTTAGTTTGGGTCCATTTAGTGTGGTTTAATTTTGAGAAAAGCTCGGCAGTCAGTTATTCTGGTTTGGAACTACGAATTGACGTAACGAAAAGCAATAAAAATCAACTTTTCAAACAGCCCGTAAAAGTCGTAATAAAAAATGAGCAAATATGAACTTTGAAACAGTGTTGATCGTAGTGAAAAAGAGAAAAAAAAATTAAACAAGTGGTTGCAAAAGACTTACCGTTTATTAAAGAAAATCTGAATGTCTTTATAACTAGATTTAAAAGTTTCCAGGTTTATCAACCTCTCGGACTCGTTATTGGGCATTAATAGCGGGAAAATAAGTTAGTTGCACTTACTTTCTGTAAAGCAAGTTCCAAGTCTTCAATGTCTTTCTTCAGTCCTGATAAGTCCGATTCTAGCTTCTTCTTAGTCTGATTAACTTGATGGTGAGCGTCCTCCTCTTGGGCTAGACGTTCTTGAAGTTCCTGTATGTAGATGTCAACATTCGTGAAACCTTTTGATTCGTTTTTTTCATTGCTTATGTCGGTTACAATAGTTCCTATGTAATAACTGCTTTCGAACAGACTGGCTTGGTTTGTTTCGCTGTCTTCGCAGTTAATAATATTTGAGATATGGGTAGGTTCGTTTGCTAGGATTTCTTCCATTTTAATACGATTGAAACAATCATAGTTTGAACAATAAGTGAATAACAGAATGTAACCAAAAGCTAAAGTCGTTTAAATTTAAATTGTTTTTTATTTGTCTAACAAAATGACGGTTGTGTTTACAAGATGATTTTTTCCCTGTATTATTACAGATTTAGATAGAATTTGTTAACAAAGCTTCCGCCTGACACACACTTCTTCAGTAAAACAAGGGTTTCAAAACATATTATAATATATACAGTACAAACATAGAACGTACAGATCTTACAAGACCCTGGGAATGGGTCGACCTGTAAAAAGTAGTTTCACTTCTAGGGCACGAGGTCTTTTACTATCGGGCCTTATCAGAAGGAGAGCTTCATAACTAAGACATCAGTTATATTCTCCACCCCCACGCTCTTCGAGGGAAGCGCAAGACTCGAAGCTTTTAACGAGTTAGTGAGGCTTCAGTTTTATTAACCGAGTATAGTAACATTAGTATGTTTGCTCAAAGAAAACATATCGAGTTTACGCCAACGTGTTAGGGTTAACTGTGAAACAAGCATGACTAATGTTTGTGAGAAATATTACCAGTTTTTATAAAGAAAAATTAAAGGTGAAAAATATATATATGTCGAAAACTCTATATAAAAATTATATATAAAAATTCTTACAAAATGTTTATAGCCACAAACACTATAAAGAACTATTGTTAAAGCAAAAGTAAAATATTCACGTAAAAACTTCGAATCTTATCATAAAATTACTTATTCAATTTTTAAATACATTTATTTCTTTGTTATTAATTTCTTAATTTCATATATATACCTGTTTAAGTTGAAGTTATGCGGTGTTAAAGTATCATATATATTTGTGTGTTTGGCATATTAAAGTATATATTGTTACGTCTCTGGTCGTTTGTTAATTTTCCGTAAAAATTATTTCCGAAGAACTTCGGCGATACAAGTCCTTTCTTAAATAAAACTAATTTATTCCTTCTCAATACAACTTTGCAATACACAGAATTTCCACAGACACTTTAACTTCAACACACGCTATGATTCACAACGATTCACGCACTTTACTTACGGTCACTACCGCTCACATGACTCGATTATCTGCCTCTATATCTGTCTGTCTGCTGTTATTATCCCCGCTTTATTTGTCAGGCTTATATATATTAAAATAGAGGGCGTCTGGCAGACACTCGAGCCTTCATGATCCTTCTAGAAACTCATCGCGTGTTACTAGCGTCACTTTACTTCCGCTGTCGTAACAATATGTTTTTGTGTCAGTTTCACAACAGTACTATATACTTTGAAGTAAAAGTACTAAGTACTTCGAAGTAAAACATATGTAAAAGTTGAACATTCTGCAAGTTTGGCAACATATCTTTGCATCAAATTCTTTCACAGTTTATATGTTGTTTTATAAAGGAGTAGCAACAGAATTTATAATAAATACTGGCATTCATGAACTTTATTTTTATAGTTTTTCCATGGAAGTCTGTTTATTTGCAACGTTTTACGGCCTCTTTATTTTAGGTCGAGTCAATTGCAAGAAATATTTACTTGAAAGACAAACTGAGATTTTAGTGTTATTGGTTTCATGTTAACCTGGCAACTGTAAGACGCATTCAAGTAGCACTGATGTGTAGAATTTCGACTTGTGATACAGAGAGAGCGTTCACACGTTCTTATTTTCCTAGATGTAGTTGTAGGTGGTTTTGTTTGAAAGTCTTACTGTTAAAACTATATATCGCACAGATTTAGGTTATCATATTTCAAAGTAACGAAAACATAAAATACTATTTCATTCTATAACAAACCGACATATGTGAGCTTGTAAATTTTAAAACTTTCTCCTAAGTGTCTAATTTGTATTTTGTAAGCTGATAAATATTATACAATCTTCTTAATAATTTTTCAAAAGCGAAAAACAAATCAACACTATATCTTCCTGATTTAGGAAATAAATTGAGTTTGGTTAAATTATTCACAAATAGACAGAACCAAAGTAACTGATATTATTATAATCCAGAGCTCCTAAAATATATTCACATAACATTTTCTCTACCTGCAGCTGGCTTTCGAGGTCTCCTTTTTGAGCCATGGCTTTGGTTAAGCGTTCTTCTATATCTCCAGACTGAGACCTTTCAGCGTCTAGCTGAAGGAACAGGTCGTTTTTCTCCTGCAAGAGCTTCACATTCTGAGATTCCAGTTCCTTGCGAAGTTTTTCTTCCTTCTCGAAAGCTTCATGCTCCTTCTTGAGCTTCTCCTCCAGCGCCCGCAGCTCGTCTTCCACTCTTGCAATGCTGAGAAGAGGTTTGACCTGTGGACAATATGTGATCCGGTTTAAACAAACTATTGAAACTCAGCCTGATTATCTTTAAACCTATCCGTCCTTAGACCACATTACTCGAATCCACAAGTGCTAATTATTCATACCAATAAATCAGAGAGTTGTTCAAGAACGTTTCTTATTCTTATTTATTTTGTTTCTTTGATTTGAAGACCGTAAAGCGATTCACCGAACACGTATTTGAGATAAAATGATTGGCTACCTTGGAGTACAGTTTCCACCATAGCCAGTTCCTCAGCTGCAAGAACTTTCGAAGGTTTCTCTGGATGATTAACAGGGCGATCCTGAAATAAAAAATAAAACGTCAGAACTTCCCCAACGAAAAATCGGCGTTCTCATCCGGGTCTATAACCAACTATTTAGGCTTTGGTCCTCAACTCTTCCATGACAAAACCACCTTCCTTATTCCATTTCTGTTAATTCTCTGCATGATGTTAATAATAATGTCCTAAGTTTTTTCGACAAAGATAAACACTACACTTTAAAATGGAATAAAAGAAAAAATAAACATTGTGTGATACCTCTGTTCCTGTAGCTTCTTGAACTCCTTCTTGCATTGGTACCACCTGATCCAAGACTGTAACCAAGTCATGATTTTGGCAAGACGCTCATCTCGCATCTCCTCTAACCTGCCCAACACTCCAGCTCGGAAGAAAACCTATTTATATACAGTAATTATTTACCGTACGTATTTCCATATCCATATAGATATAACACAAAGTTAATAAACTTTAGGCTTTGTTATAGAATTATTTTATTAAACAACGGTTTTTTGTCTTATAATAGCTCGTTAGTTACAAAAGAACCTTAAGTTTCATACGTTAATACATTAAAATTTGTCATATAGGAGTAAAAATCCAGGTTACAACTTGAAGACGGTGCAATAAAATTACACGTTACGACTAGAAGGCTATGTTATATAGGAATAAAATTCCACGTTACGACTAGAAGGCTATGGTTATATAGGAATAAAATTCCACGTTACGACTAGAAGGCTATGTTATATAGGAATAAAATTCCACGTTACGACTAGAAGGCTATGTTATATAGGAATAAAATTCCACATTACGACTAGAAGGCTATGTTATATAGGAATAAAATTCCACGTTACGACTAGAAGGCTATGTTATATAGGAATAAAATTCCACGTTACGACTAGAAGGCTATGTTATATAGAAATAAAATTCCGTTTTGAAGTTTAAAAAAATCAAAGTTTGATTATTAATATACACCAGGGTCACAGAATGTTTTAAGTATTTTAATATAATAATTTTAAAAACTTTTCCTTGTAAACAAGAATAATTTATGTGAAACTTACCTGTACAGGAAGCACGACATAGAGGAACGAAAGTTGAAATGAAAGTGAACTTTGAGATATAAATATATATAAAAAAACCCACCTTGTAAATAGTGAGAAAAATACGAGAGTTGAACAGAATATTAAAGGAAAAAACACACACACATTAGAAATAGATGAGAAATGGTTAGTTCTAGCGGAACCGGGAAACAGATTTTTATGAAGTCAACAGTTTACATATCTAAAAAACTGTTTGATAACATTGTGCTCTGCAGAAATCTTGTGAGCCGACAAAGACGTTTTGTGTCACCAACTACAATTCCAATTATATTTAAATTAACTGAATTATTTTGCTTGTAATTGGTTATTATATAGTGAAATTTTATCATGGTTGAAAACTGTAAATATAAATCAGTTTTACTGACGTTTTATTTTTTAGTGTAAAAACATTATGCTGACCTTATAAGAAATGTCAGTTATTTTGTTATTGATTATAATTACCAAATATAGGGAAAAAATGTGTCATAAAAAATAAAAAAGTAATTTTAATGAAATCGAATCGTTCTCGTGCCTTACTTATCTGTGTTTTGTTAGATCGATGGATTTAAGGATTTTTTTTATACGAACACCTTGGTTGTAGCACATGGTTGGCGTATCTAGGAGGAAGGTGTCACAAACATGGGAAACAAACTGCTTCACAAACATTCACCATGCAATATTCGTCTTCTTGATAAAGGTAAACAATAACAGTGTTGTCATATTCCATTAGCTCAGTACATATGTAGGAATGAACAGAAAAGGAATATTCTACAGTGTTGTCATATTCCATTAGCTCAGTAGATCTGTAAGAATGAACAGAAAAGGAATATTCTAAAGTGTTGTCATATTCCACTAGCTCAGTAAAGGATCTTAGACTTTTATAACCCACCTTAATAATATTTTATTGAACTATTTGAAAGTTTTAAATTCTAAGCTTTGTTATAGTGTTATGACTATTACATGATTTTTAGTGTGGTTTGTGAGAATAGTTAAGTTAAATTTCCTATATATAACTTATTAAAATATTTTCATTGTTTCTACTCGCAAAATTGTATTTTTTATCAGCAGACTTTTCAATAGTGTTACTTTAAAATAATATTTAATAATGTGGTCTTGGTAGTCCTTGAAAATCAGATAATGATCGCCAACAGAAGCTACAGTCATTTCGCAATCAAGCAAGCCATAGCAAAGTTAAAGTCTTGCATAGCTTTCAGAGGACCGGGCGTGGCCAACTGATTGGTTTACCGGATTGTGCATCTGAGTGTCACCAGTACAGCGTCACTAAGTACACGTCTAAGAAGTGACTATTCATATTACACGTGAGTCACTTGGTGGATAACCCGTCCAAGGTTCATGTCTCGTTGCTTCGCACTTTAGGCTGTGTATGTGTTAGAACAATGAGAGTCATCTTTTGGATTAGAGTAGCACAAACGTTGGTGGTTAAAGAATGAGAGGCCTCTATTGTATTAGAGCAGCTCAAACGTTGGTGGTTAAAGAATGAGAGTCCTCTTTTGGATTAGAGCATCCCGAAAGTTGGTGGTTAAAGAATGAGAGTCCTCTTTTGGATTAGAGCATCCCAAAAGTTGGCGTTCAATGTTGGTGTTTAGTTGTCTCCCCTCTAGTCTATAAACTGACAAGTTGGATCAGTTAGCGCAGATAGCTGCTGTGACTTCAAGGTGTATTTACTGTTTAAAGTCTGATGGGTAACCAGTGACTTGTGTGCAAGGTCTCTACAGAATTGTTAGTTCATTTGTGCTAGTGATGATAGAAGTTTCACTACCTAAAGCATAATTTTGTCAACTTTGTTTTTTCACGATTCAAGAACAATACCATGAAGAGTAATTAACCCAAGAGTTGGCAGTCAGTGTTATTCACTAGCTTTCTTAACTATAATATAATAATAACAACAGATACGCCCAACTAGCTCTTATACAGCTTTCTGCGAAATGTCTTAATTACGTTTGATCACCAACACTGTGCTTGGGCAAAGAAGTAAATAAAAGCTAAAATAAAATTATGGTCATTCCAGTAATAAAAATATCGCAAAGAAAGATAGTAAAAATAGGTACATAAACTGAAGAGGTTAAGAATGTAGTGTAGCATGTACGTGAATATGAAATGATAGAAACAGATACGCCCCCAGTCAGTAACTTACCCTAGATAAAGTCTTGTTAGTTTGTACCCACAACTAAAATAATGCAAGCTATCATGTATTTTAGTTTTTACGTGCCTTCATCCAGTTGAATGTGATCCAGAATTATTTCCGTGGTATTTTTAGCTTCGACAAGTCCTTTAGGAATGGCATTGGGGACCAGGATGACATATTTGAGGGAAGGATGATGGTCACAAGGATGTTATGAGACAAGTTGATGGGAAAAACAACGTCAACGTGCTTGGTTTGGAATGGAAGGAAGTTCTTTTCTTGACTGGTATAGGTGACGCTGCCAATAGTCATTAATAAAATACAAACTAAATTTACTTTGCATATGCGTTATTAAAATAAAAAGTATATAATATTTCTGTAGAATATTGTACGATACAAACTGCTGTTTACAATTATTTCTACGATGTTGGTCTGGTGAAATATTATGTCTGGATATTAAAAATAGTGTTACAACAGTGGAAGTCACGTGACGCTGGTAACACGTAATGAGTATCTCGAAGGTTCGTGAAGGCTCGAGTGTTTGCCAGAATTGCTGTATTCTAATATATAAGCCCGGCAATCAAAGCGGGAGGGGATTAATCGGAATTGAATTGCAGACAGAGAGATATAGAGACGGACAATTGAGTCAAGCGTGGTAGTGACTGTAACTAAAATGCGTGAATCGTTGTGAATTATAGCGTGTGTTTAAGTTAAAGTGACTGTGGAAATTAAATGTATTGCAAAGTTGTATTGAGAAAGAATAAACTAGTTTTATTTAAGAAAGGACTTGTATCGCTAAAGTTTCATCCGAAAGAAATTATACGGGAAATTAAAAAACGACCAGAGACGTAAAAATAGTGATTTCTACCAATATCAGAATAGGAAATCTTTGTGTACAAAGGTTATCTCGTATGTACAAGATAATAAGTCTAAGGTATGACATTATTTTATCTTTCGCCTCGTATTTCAGCGCTCACATTCTCTTTTACATTTACACACAACATTAGGTGTCAAATGACTTGCCTTGATATTTCTTAAAAGTGTAGCAGGCATAAATAACTAGAGACGATTCATACGTTATTTATCCAGCTCCGACAAAGTTTACAATTTTGTCACTCTTCTAGTCATTATTTAATTTTCCGTAAAAATTCTTTCCGAAGAAACTTTACCGATACAAGTACTTTCTTAAATAAAACTGATTGTTACGACAGTGGAGGTCACGTGAAGCTAGTAACACGTCATGCACTTCTCGAACGTTC